GGAATTATATATGTGCAGGGGAAGGTGAAATAGAAACATAAATATTTGTTATAATTATCTACCAAGGGAAAGTGCTGAAGGTGTGGAAATGCTAAATATTAAATTTTTGAGTTTTAAAAGTTTTTTTATATTTAAAATTTTGTAAAATTGAATTGTTTTTTTTTTTTAACTTTATTCTGATGAAGTCCTTTTAAAGAACAAAATGAGTTACACAAAATTTTGCCATTTTCTCTTCAAGAAGTATGACATTCTTTAGATCAAAGCTGTGGGTAGATAAAAATGTTACAACTGATCCTTACAATACAATCAGGGTAACTTGCAGAATTTAAAAAAAAAAAAAAAGAAAAAAAAGAAACATATCCATGAAGACAAAAAAAGGATCTTATTCACCAGCACTTCTTAAACTATGGGTCTCAACCCCAATTTGGGGTCGTGAAGCAAAATGCTGGGGTTGTGAAAACGAAATTCAAACACTTGAATTTCAGTTTATATGTTATTTCGCAAATGCACAATATTTAATGTGATGCATCACACAAGTGTTGCAGTAATAAAATGCACATGTGGTGCCATTGCAACTAGTGCAGTGACAATGGATGTATTTTTAGTGTAGCTGGTTATTACCTGGGGTCACAAAAAAATGTCATGATGAAAAATGGGGTCATGAATTAAAAAAAAGTTTAAGAAGCGCTTTTATGCACAACAATTTATCAAATGCATTAATTATAGATAGATATAAATTCCATTCTTTGATCTAAAGGATGCTACACTTATTAAAAGGGAAAGTAAATTACTTAGAAAATTCTTGAGAGTGCTGCTATCGAATCTTATAAAAATTCAAAAGATTCATTGGAGCAGGTTGATTTTTCAATATTTTTGAAAACCAACTTTGTACTCTGTGTGAAAGCTAAGGTTTGATGTGGTAAGTATTGGCACCAAAAATTAGATTCCTAGCTTTTACCAATTTTTGAGCATTAAGTTTTAAAGATTGTCAAAAAAAAAAAAAAAATGTATAGAAATAACTAATTTCTGCAGGTTTTTGTTTGACTACAAAATTTTATTATTTCAAGAAGTCCAAATAAAGATGATATTTTTTTGTATTAGAGACATTGAATGGAAAATTATAAAAGATTTCGAAAAAGCCTAATTAATGAATAAAATTTCATACCATTTGTTAGGTCATAATTAATAAAAACGAAAAATATATAAAAGTGTATTTAATACCATACTGGGTACAAATTATAAAAGAAAATGTTTTAAATTTGCATTGTTCATTGATAAATTGCACTAATACTATTGTACTCTATATACATTATTCGGACTATTGTCCTCATCTTGGTCATCATATTTATTACAACATTTCGGCTGTTGTATGCTCTGGCCTTCTTCAGGTGATTGGAATGTCGAACCGAACCATTTATTTCGCTCACTGTTCTAGTTCCACATGCCATGTTTAATGGATGTCAGTTATCAGTTATCTCCTGTTAATTCCCCTCTCCAAGTTCTCCACTGCCTTAACCAGGTATTGAACTTACACTCTTTGGGTCCTGTCACTGGATCTAACCAACACCTTTATCCACTGTGCCACGTGTCCTTAAACATGGCATGTGGAACTAGAACAGTCTACCTCAGTGAGCAAAATAAAGGGTTCAGTTCGACATTCCAACCACCTGAAGAAGGCCAGAGCGTACAACGGCCGAAACGTTGTAATAAATCTGATGACCAAAATGAGGACAATAGTCCGAATAATGTAAATAGTGTACATAATACCTCATCTCAGAAATATAGACAGATACTGAACGTCCGAAACGTAATAAATATGGTGACAAAGATGAGGACAATAGTCCGAATAATGTAAATTGACAGATAGCTATTGTACTCTATATTACATCATAATAATAGTTAAATTGTTCTCTTGATCATGTTGAAGATAAATTCTATAACCAACAATTGTTTATTATCTCTTTTAATTTCAAACCAACTGTATATATTTCAATTATAAATTTTATAAGGCTGTGCTATAAGTCTTTCATTGTTCACCAGAATGAAATACCAATGATCCAATTTTGATCCTAAACTTAATCTTTAAACTTGTTTCCTCAAAAAATGGTAACAACAAAAAATATTTGGTGTCTTTATTTATCATGTGAAACCGCAACTTTCACATTGAGTGCAATACCATGGTTCCAAAATCAACCTGCCCTAATGAGTCAGGTAGTTGGTGTAAATGCAATGAGAGTACTAGACCTGTGGGTGGTGTCTGTTTGGTTCTGGAATTTCAGTAAGTAGACAGGTACAAAAATGGTGGTATTAAATGGTGTTTAACCTATTTTGACTAAGTAGCCATGTACCAATTTCCTGATTACTACTGATTTTATTATTTTCATGAATAAACCCCCATGGGAAAAATTGAAGATTTTATTTCTCAAAAAGCCAAAATTTCTCAAGAAATTGAAAGACTAGCTTAAAACAAGATTTCTTTTCTTTGAAAATTTTAATCGACACCATTCGTAAACATCTTGAATTTAGGTTACAGCTCTCCCTCCTGCAATCTTCTCTTATTTCAAAGCATCGACTTTTCAGTTAAACAGCACAGCATTACCAGTAGAAGAAAAGGTTCCCCACACCATGACACCACTTTCTCTTTGCTTAACTATTATAAAGACACGATCACATGGGAATTTCTTGTCAGATCTTTTCAAACACATTTCTCTCACAAGCATTAATTTATACTGGGAATTTATACTTGGCTCACTAATTACTTGTTTGAAGCCACTAACCTGCACACATATATATATATATATAATTATTATTAGATCATCAATGATTGTCAGGCTCATTACAATCTTTAACAAAATATACAATTAGTATAACTTAGGTGCTAAAAAGATTCCTTTACTCTAACTAAAATATATAATTTTTAAAAATCTCTGTCCATGAAATAAAAAACAAAAACAAAAAAAAAACAAACATTTTGGCATTTTAATATTAATTGTAATAATTCTATAAACATAAACATTTATTTAAAAATTTTTTTCCAAATATGAAAGAAAAAAAGGGTCAAGACAAAGCTGGATATGTTTGTTTTTTTAAAAATAATGTGTGCATCTATCTAAAGTGTGTGTTTGTATATATTTATGCATCTCTCTGTATGTGTTGACTATATCATATTTCCTCAACACTCTCCAGTTGACAATCGATTTTTAGGTCAGCTTAAATTTGCCCTTTTTACAAAAGATACATTCTGCTAAAAAGAAAACCTTATACTGTACGGAATAAATTATTTAAAATGGACATTTTAAAACAAAAAGTTAAAATAAAAATGTGTTCTTTGAAAAACAGGGCATATAAGTCATTAGAGATTTTTAAAATTAAAGCAAGAAATATATTGCCTATTAAGTATGTCTCTAGCTAAAATAGGGCTAAGACCGATGTAGCCTGACTAAACATGTTAATTTTATTTCATTCCTTTTTTTTTTTTTTTTTTTAAATTAAACTTACTCTCTTTTTTTTTTTTCTTTCTTCTTTATTATGAACAATATTAACAAAATGTATTTTTGTCAATATTTTGAGGCACAAAATTAAAACAATTTTGTATCCGGCTGAAGTCAAGAATGAAAATAACGTACTATGAAAATTTTTTATTGCTTTGAAATAAATATACTTGAATGTTGACTAACCCAGGCTAAGCTTGACAAGCCCGACCCCCAGAGTTGCCACTTATGATATGTGTGTATGTGTGCTTCTTGTTTCCTTGTCAACTACAATCTTTGAAAATTTAAATGTAACATCAATCGTTGTCTTATGTCATTGTGAATTCAATTCTTTTATTGCCTTTTCTGCTTACTAACATTTTCAGTTCTTAAGAACTCCTAACATCTTAGTAGCATTATTGCTTTGCTTGGAGTGATATGATTCTATGTGTGTGTGGAAAGCCTGTATCACTGTATTAATAGTTATTAAAATCAAATCTTTTTCTTTAAGCTTCAGTCAAGATAAATGATGAACTGTAAAGAAATTGAAAGACCTTTTATTAAAATCACTTTTAAACTTTTTTTTCACTGGAAAAAAAAAAAAAAACAAACAAAAGACAGAGAGAGATTTCAAGAAAACAAAATGTCTGCCTTGTCAAGTTGAACCAATAATAGCAAACATTAGTAGATTTGAAATTTTAAAAGTTTTCTAAATATACAAACAAGCAAAAAAAAAAAAAAAAAACCTTATCTTCCAATTTTTGGATTTTTCTAAATAAGCAAACATGAGTTCCATAACACAGACATACCTTGTAGTCAGGTTCAATCTGATGTCGGCAAAGAATGCATTTGTGTGGTGGCTTTTGGTATGGATTTACCATTGACGACACAGGCTGCAATGAATATTATTCAGAAAATAAGATACATGAAAACTGAATAAAAAAAAAAAAAAAATTTAAAGGTAATTAACTTGTTGAACCTTTCGTAACCATCTACCAGCATTTAATCACTAAATAGAATTCTACAGGAGTTAAAAAATGAAAGTAGAATAAAGCTCTTCTATTTTCTACTAATCTCATATGACTATTCACTACCAATTTGTTCTGTTAGACAACCAATTGTGAAAGAGTAAAAATTAACCAAAATGTCCAGAGTTAGGATATTGGTAAGTGGATTGATTGTTTGTTTTTTACAGTTTATCAAAAGCAAGATTTTGTGATGATCTGACCTGATACCACAGCCCCACATGGTTCAGTACAGCCAGAGATAGGAAGAGTTGGGGGTCAATGGTGGGTGGGGATGGAAGCTCCTCCAACAGGATTGAGATTTTTGATTCAGAAGAATTTTTGTGGGGGGAGATAATAAGGATTTACTGATACAAGTCCTACTAGTTAACCCATAGCTTGGGAGAGAAGAGATGGATTCATGACTTTCCCTTTGTGAATATGATGAATCAGGTTGGAATTGGTTCTCTGCTATATGGTTTCCAATTCTGAGCTTTTATCCATTACATCACCTGCACATTCAAGTTTACAGCACCTGATATTCCCAAGTGGTCACCTGTCTAGGTACTGACCAGGCTCGATGTTGCTTAACTTCAGTGATCATACTAGAACTGGTGTTTTAGCATGATCTGCCTGTAAGTCATCAGAAAGTGGTCAGATTTCATCATTCAACAGGTTATAAAACTTAGCATTTGAAAATAAAAACCAAGTTGTCATATTTTGGTTACACAGAATGTGTTTTTAAAATAAAAAACAGCATTTGTACACCTTAGGAACTCTTTGATGTTTTATATCATTTTTATTTGGACAACTCAATTTAATCTGTGCATTGCTTTTGTAGATTTCTGCACAATGTGTTTTTTTTTTTCTTTGCTCAGCAGGCAGAAAATTGGAGAACACCCCCAGCACTGTGTACAAATTAGAATCCCCCTGTATTACACAGGCTGCTAAGCAATGGTATTATCAGTGTGGCTCAAATGAGCCGGTAAATATATTCACCATCAATTTTTTCTGTTCAGATTATGCACCTAAATAAAGATGGAGAACTGATCAGACAAAATGCTGTTGTAAAAATATTTCAGGATTATGGCTCTCCACAGATTCCGTTTCTTTTATCATTTAGTAACTGCCATTGCTTCTTGGGAAATATAGGGGAGTGGTTTCCCCTTGCCTTCTCCACAGTTTCAAATCCAGAATTTTCATTTTTTTAGATTGGTTACCACCCAAAGCTAGAGAGAACAGTTTACTCTGCTATTTAACCCATAAGTTGGAGTGAGGAAGATAGGTTCGTGCCTTTTCCAAAGATTTTACATGATGTAGAAGGCCCAGGAACTGTCATAAACATGTGGCACAAAACTGGTTCAGATATTTCAAGGAAGGTGATTCTAGTCTCAAAGACAAACCAAGGTCAGTGAAACATTTTGTTATAGAAGATGAGGCCTTGCTTGAAAAGGTTAAACACCAGAGCCAAGCATAAGTACATTGTTAGAATTTGGGCCTTCACAAAGTACCTTCAACTGACACCTTCATAAAAGCTTGGCCTTGTAAAAAGACACTGTCAAGAAGTTCCTCAGGAACTGACAAATGACCAGGCTCAATGTATGAACATTTGCAAGCAAATTCTCAAGATGCCCGTTTTTGGCATCAAATTGTAACTGGGGATGAAAACTGGATCTATTTTTGTAATCTTAAGAAGAGAAATCAGTGGCTTTGTACCATTCGTGCTTCAGAACCTGCTATCAAACAAGGGCGGTTTGAACAGATGGTCATATTGTGTGTTTGGTGGAATTTTAAGAGAGTGTTGCACTTTGAGCTTGTCCCAGATGGTCATGCTGTGAATACTGACTTTTATGCTCAACAATTGCAGCGGGTATATAATGCTTTGAAAGCCCTCTACCCGGCATTGTTTAATCAAAGACATGCACTCCTAGAGCATGACACTGCCCCAGTATGTACTGCCAATGTGACCAAATGCAAACTTGAGGGGCAGGAAGTGCTGCCTCAACGTGCTTACAGTCCAGACCTTGAAACAATTACAACCATTTTTGAGTTTTCACTTAATTCCTGCATAGAGAGACGTTCAACAATTTAGACAAGGGTGAAATGGATGCAGGGAATTCTTTTGTCTCTAAACCAACCAAATGGTATAAACATGGAACTGAGCTTCTGGCATGACGATGGCAACAGACAATCGAACATGATGGGAGATATCTTGAGGAATAAATGCTTTTTATATGTAATTTGTTTGAACTACTACTTAAAGCTTAAAACACAAAAAGTTTTTGACTCAATCTACTATAAGGAATAGGAATCTTGGCCTGTCAGGCAAAATTTGTTTCATACAAAGAATGGCAATTTGATAATTCTTTTATTCATGCAATATTAAAAATTCCTCATAAATTTGCACGAAGTGAATCCCATAAAGATCTTACCCCATCATTTTTGTGCTCTTTAAGAATCTCTCTGATTTCTGTTGCATCATGATCTATGTGTTGTAGCACCAAGGGATGTTTTGGTCGATTTGATGTCTTTTTGCGAGGATATTTGGAAACTGGCGGTCGTTTCATGATCAGTACAGATGCAGACGGTGCATAGAGAAGACCTGAATTCAGAGGATTAAAGAATATAAAAAAAAAATCTTATTAAAATTGACAGATTTGTCAACAGATATTCATCAGACAATATTTGAAGAAACAAAATCTATCCAAATATTAATCCATATCCAATAATCCATGACAGCTAGTTATAAAATACTCTTTTACCAAAAATGTAACAAAAAAAAGGGGAGCAAGAAGAGCCTTATATGCTGACCAATATTTTAGCTAATGTTGGAAACATTCAGTTTCCACATCTTTCATTTTAGTTTAGTTCTTTTAGTTTTTAAACTCATTATAAATAATAGTTGGCTGGTGCCATCAAAAACTAATGACAATATCTGATTATAATTGTGCTTGTGCCTCTATTTGTTAGTTTGCATAGCTATTACGACTTGCTAATAACTCATAAATAACAAAGTATTCCATTTTGATCAGGTGGAAAGAGAGCAAAGATACTACATGGTTTCAGTGGTTGGTTGATTTTGTTTAGCAGTGTATCAATCTCTCTGGGTTATTTAATGCTGAAACCTAAATATTTTGAACACAATTTTATGGCTACAAATACAGATAAAATGTATTTTTGGTCCTTTTACTATAAATATGATCATTGGTAATTTCTTTATATAAAAATGTATTGCTGGTATTTTTACTATAAAAATGTATGTTTATATTTTCATAGTGTTTTGTTTTTGCTTGGGGGTTCACTAGTTGTCCATAACTGCGACCTTAACAAGTGGTACCACCCCAGGTGAGGTGGACCTGGGAACAACAACAATCAAAACTTCCAATCTCCTGCCAGATGAAGTTTATTGTTATACCCAGGACTTTGGTTTGAGTGAGAAAATGAAAGAAAGAAATAAAGAGAGAAAGGGAAGATAAAAGTGTTTAACATCTCTTGCCAATACCTTATAAATAATGGACTATTCCATTTTGATTGCTTAGAAAAAAAAAAAAAAAAAAAAAAGAAAGAAAGACATATGAAAGGATAATAGAAGTGTTTAAAGTCTGTTTCAGTGAAATAGAAGAAGTTGACAATTTCAAATTTATATATATATATATATATATTTTTTTTTTTTTTTTTTTCATATATACAAGATCTTTCTTTGGATTTTTTTTAGATTTATTTATTATAAAGTAAAAGGTAAAAAAAAATAAAAAATGGTTCTAAGTTTAAATTTTGTGATGTTTCTAACAAAATTCTAGTATTTTAAGAATTTGAAATTTGAAAGTTAGAATTAGAGATTCATTCATTCAGAAAGAGTATAAATATAAGATCTGATAAGTTCAGATTTATCAAACATCTGGCCTTAATGATCATTTCAACATGAAACTATCATGTTGGCTAACCAGATAAGCTACTTAAACTTTTAATTTACCAATTGAACATTTTTTGGCAGAAGTTCTACTAGGCTCAAAATACAGATTAAATTCTCATAATTTTGACATTTTTCATTTGTATTATGATTATAATTTCTAACACACACAAAGCTATATATATGTGTGTGTGTGTGTGTGTACGCATGCAAATATATTGATAAAATAGGAAAGAACTGTTAGATTGATGATCCAAAGTTCTTTAGTATTTTTGTTATTATTTTAAAAAAAACAGTGCTTGATACACAAGTAGAGCCTATATCATAATTATTATTTTTTAAATTGGATTCCATCACTACACAGGAATTACCATGTTTCAAAAACAGAAGCTAAAAACTTCCAATTCAATTATAGAAATTAAATTAAAGTACCTAGTTCTGTTTCATTTTCAAGCAAATTTTGGTACTTTAATTTCTATAATTGAATTGGAAGTTTTTTGCTTCTGTTTTTGAAACATGGTAATTCCTGTGTATCAATGGAATCATATAAAAAAAATTGTTATATATATGTAAGCAAATATATGGATAAACAATATTAACATTAAAACAGCATAATTGCATATTAGGATTTTTTGTTTGTTTTTTTTCATATAAAATATATATATATATATATATATATATATATATATATAAATATATATATATATATAAATATATATAAATATATATAAATATGAAGATAATGGGACAAAGTGGAAAATTTAATCAAACTCCAGAGAAAAGCTTAACTTATGTTTTCTTTGGTGTCATCAGTTCAAAAGAAGAAAGACAAAACTGTTTGTTAGGAGAGGTTTTTTTGTTTTTTTTTATATCTGAGGATAAGTGGCGAAACAGCCAGAAACCTTCAAAAATGATTATATGAACACCGCAGAGATATTCTGTATACCAACAATCTAAACGCACTGGTGGTTTAATACATTTGACAGCAGTTTTGATTTTAAAAAATGCCAGTCTAATTAAGCGAGAACAAAATTTACCGAGAAGAAAATCCATTGAGAGCATGTTAATATCAGAGTTCTCAACAGTGAATCTTCAACCATTATTTCACCAAACATCACAAAAACAATAATAGTACACATTATGGAATAAAAGTTGTCGGAGAAAAAAAAAAGGGACCTACTTGGAGCCAACTGATTTAAAATCCACAGACAGATTGATAGAAGCACTAAACTTTGCTGTCTTTCTTGACCTTGAGAATTTCTTGACTAAGTCTTAATTCGATTCCAAGCAGAGAAGTTGCTCTCTACAGATGCAGTTGAGGCTAGAATCATTAAAAATCAATTCACAAAGTTGAGCTGCTTTACTGTAAGCCTTTTCCAAGTCATTCAGTTTTCTAAAACTTTCTATTAGGTTTTTTTCTCTGAATTCGTCATAACATAACCAAGAAAAAAAAAACAAAACAAAACAAAACAAAAAAACAACAACTTTCAGTGCTAAAAGATCAAAGACATTTTAATAAAGACATGTCAGTATCTGAAAGGCAAGATCTAGAAAATGGTTTCTGCAGGCAGGAAATGACTGAGTGCAAAAGTTTGAAGAATTTTAATGAATTCAAATTTGAAAAGGAATTCAGTAAATGGATCACGAGATTATAAAAAATTATTATTATTATTCTACTGCTATTCCTCCTCAATATCCAATGCTTAAGCTTTGAAATTGCCTCGTATAGACACCAGAGGCAAATAAATTTTTCCCACTCTGAACAAATTGTTAGAAGCTTTCTGGAAAGGGTGAGCTCATTTTTAATTAGCAGGTGGGACAGGGTAATTCTACAATCAATATTTGTCAGTCAAGGATGAAGAGTTCAAGCCTTAGGAGGATTAGCATTAACAATCACCATAATAGTTGTCTAAAAGGTAGAAGAGCATTGTCAATAGCACTCCACCTTTTCTTTTTTTGTGTAGACAACAGTGGCAGCTTATTTATCACAGTTTCCACATCAATATATTTTTTTTTTCTTGTGGAAGAGAGATTCTGGGCTCACATAAATGATCCAGAATGTTGTTAGAGGAGAATCCACTCTTAATCAGCTTGGCTTGAGCTGGGAATCCATTCTAATTTATACATTACCATTTGTTCTGATTTTTGGCAAATAATTGCAAATTCAATTTTCAGCCTCTTATCCAATATTTGAGTAGACAAGCAAGCGGAATCACACAGGGGCTGCATATTGTCAGTTTTACATATTACTGATGTATAGTTGTTATGATGTTAATTTGGGGTTAATAAAGACAAACGCCAAATAACATGTAACAACAAAAAGGGGGTTTATTCGGTTGGTAAGTTGGTACATAAATTGCCTGAGTAGTCTATAACTAACTCAGCCCAAGAACTTCTCCCACTCTGTCTTTTGACATGCCACTATTTAACGTCTTTGTTTGTAGACAAGTTCATCTTCAAGAGGGGTGGTAGGTTCCTACACAACAATAGTTAACACCCAACATCATAATTTCTTGCCTGTGGCATATCAGATATGTGTATTTGACAATGGGAAAAATAATCATGTTCTCGTTCCACTGTCCATCTCTAAGGATATCTCATCTAGTTTTTATTTTAGAATTGTTCAGTTATTACTTGACCTGTTTCCACCGAGTCCAAGGATTGAACTCATAATTAATTGGCCCAGGGATTGAACTCATAATTAATATGTCGCCAAATTCACAAACCAATGCTTTAATTCACTAGGCTAATGCCCTGTGTGAAAAAATTGGAAATTCAGACTGAAACATAAAATGCATTTTCAACCAATTCTGATGCATAATTCCAACAAGTGGTTGACATTTTTGAATAGTTTCTTCAATGGTTAATCCTTGATTAAAAACAGGTGTTCTCTTTGGTGATTTACTATTCAAGGTCATGAAAAACTTTGCATTGGTTTATTTTTCACACGACGGTGCGATGGATAAGAAAATAACACTGATATCTCATTTTAACAAATATATTTACCAAAATTACATAAAAAATATCTTAAATACTAAAGAGTTAATTTATTCAATGAAAAAAAAAAAAAAAGAAAAAAAAAATTAAAAAAAAAAAATCAATCACTATTGGCTTCAACCAATGTCCTTCAGATGACTTCAAAATCTCCTACAACTCTTCCAGACAGTCTCCTTGTTTAAGTTGTTGAATGATGCCATAATCCTTGTCTTCAGTTCATCTTTGGAATTACAAGGAGTTTTGTTGGTCACTCGCTCAACTGTACCCCACACATAATAATTAAGGGGGTTGCAAGTCTTGGGAGTTAGGTGGCTGGATGTAAGGGGTGATGTGGTGGCAGAAATTGTCTGACAGCCATCACTGGGTTCTCTTGCTTATGTGGCATGGTGCAGATTCCTGTTGCCAAACATAGGGTCTTCCAGCAGCCACCTTCTTGACCCAGGGCAGCACAACCTCCTCAAGGCACTTGATGGAGGCCTCCATGTTGAGTCTGAAGCTGTATAGGAAGATGAATGGAGGAATCATGTCGCAAACACCTTCATAATCACCATTAGACTCATCCAACTCTTTCCGAATCCTCTGCACTGTCCTCAGACTGATGCTCAAATACTCTGAAATGTTTGTATTGAAGTTTCTGGCGTGAATGCCAGGCAGTACAGCATGTCTTTTCCAAATTTCTGGCAGAGTGAATTGTGTCATGGTGCTCTTTCTCTCACAGACAGTGCCCAACTGACCCTACTAAACCGTGCAGTGAGCAAAATCAAAAACAAATATGCATATGTGAAATTAAAAGTATAAAATGACAATTTACCCATTGAACCCTGAATTTAGACTTTGGTGTATAAATAAAGCAGTTGGTCATTTTTCCTCTTGCCCATTCAAATCCCCATCCATGACAGCAGCCTTGTGAACATACGAGTCCGCTCTCTATCTTTCACTAACCAGACAAATCAATTCCCATGTTTTGTTTTACTTATCATTTGCATTGGTGTGTATGAAAACTGAAAGAGTCATCCAAGAAATGAAGACTTGAATCTGGTCCTTAATGACTGATACAACATTCAACCCAAATCCAACTGAAACATTCCGCTCAACCCACTGCAGCCCTACCAGCTACACTTAATCCCTCGTCGCCACCACTGTCACCTCGGCAACCACCATGCCTTACCACAAATTAACCTACCCACTACTGTGACCTTGAATTGATTGACCCACCACTGTGACCTTGAATTGCTCGACCCCCACCGTGACCTCAAACTGATCAACCCACCACCATGACCTCAAACTGATCAACCCACCACTCCATCACCTTACCAGGCAATTCAGCTTCATCTCAGCATCACACAACCACCAACATCTCAACACCATCACAGATGATCGACCAACATGTGTATCAAACCCAACCAACAGCCAAATCCACTCCAGATCTATCCTGTGACCTCTGCCAAACCAAACCAAGAAATCAGTAAACTCCCAGCACTACCAACAACACCCTTACACCTAATCACTTTCCTGCCGATCAGCAACCAAAAACGACATATAAACAATATTTGCGGACTTTCTAAAAAACTAAATATATATTATGTATATCTAATGAATACATGCTGTTGAAAACTTAATCCATGTTATTCCTTTCTCTCGCAACCAAAGCTCATTATAACATTTGTCTATCAGCCTGAATAATCAAGAAATCTTATTAAGAAAAATAGGCACATTCCAGCAGGATTTGAACCCGAGTCCCCCTTAGCAGGAGAAACCGTTGTTAGATCCAACATGCCTTAGACCAACTTGGCCACAGAGTGTGTCCCCCAATCAAACAAAGCTGAATAATGGCTTATAAATACAAATCTTTCCCAGACTCTTGAAACAGTCAGATCTGTTCAGTTTCGTATCCTAATGTAAACAAAGCAATTTCTAAAGAAATGATGAATTTTTATTTATTAATCTGACAGATTTTATTACTTAGGTTATTTTTAGTGGATAGCGATATTTGAGTAAATGGTCCGCTTATTTATTAAACAGTATATTTATTTTTGTCTACTGGCCTGAATATAAGAGAAATTTTATTAAAGAAAACAAAAAAAAAAATTAAGGAGAGTTGATTGTTGGCTGGTTGTTTTTGTTTAACGGCATATCAATACCTTTATGGGTTATTTAAAGCCAAAATCTAAATATTTTGTACACAATTTTATTTTATTTTTTGAAATAATGATCTTAGTGATACAAGTCTTACTAACATTTAGCACTCTGCATCATTTATAAATATTACTTCCCCTTTTACTCTACAGTGTAACCCAGATATAAGAGAGATTTTCTCTGGTCCCAAATTAGAGCCTATGTTAATGTATATAAAATAGACCAAACCCGGATATAAGAGACTTCTTCTCCGGTCCCGACAACTCTCTTATATCCGGGTTATGCTGTATATGGAACCTCCCTCAAAATATAGTGTTTTATATATTAGTTCTATATATTTGAAATAGCAGTTGTATGGCTCTCAATTTCAGTCAAGATTGTTTTAGGTGTTGCCATAGAGGGATATGACTACACAACCAAGAAATTCAAATTCAACTTGCATTGACAGGACTAACATTTTGCTTGGCAAAAATAGCCACCTACAGTGTGCTAAAGGTTAATTAACCCATACTTGGGAAGAGGTGAATTCATATCTTTCTCAAGGGTATTTGTGCATGTGACTATAACAAACCCAAATTGAATTGGAACTTGGCTCTCCAATTAACACTTCCAAGCCATTATCCATTACACCATCCACACATCCAAGCTTACAGCACCTAGTATTCCCAAGTGATCAGCCATGTAAGTACTGACCATGGTCAACATTGCTTAACTTTGGTGATCATACAAGAACTGGTGTTTCAACATGATGTGGCCATATACCTTTTATATAGGTACCCTCACAGATTCGCAATACATAAAGTTTAAAGTGAATTTTTAAAAATGGAAAATCTTTCTTGAGGCTTTTATTTTAGTTTTAATTTCAAGCTAATAAATTAAATTTAATATTTCCAATAAGCAAAATACTTTGCTGCATTTCAAATCTAATTAAAATCAACTGGAAGTTTTGTTTTGAAATTGCTAAAATTACTGATTTTAGCACCATTTTTAGCTATCTTTCATCACAATGTAATTCTCTTTATTAAAAAATCTTTCAAAAATAATATATACTTTTCTGAAACTTTATTTAAAAAATATTACCCTATTTAAAGTTTAATTAATCTGATTTGAAACAAATATTACTTTTAGCTTAAAATATTGAGGAAATGCATTTTTAACACAGCAGAAGCTATTTAAGGTGTTGACAGGTTGATAGCTTCAATGACAGATGGAAGCTTATCTAAAATTTTTTCTACAGTGAACATATCAGTAAAAATTACTTGAGAAATATAACACGAGTGCCTTTTTTTATATAATTTTTAACTACCCAGTAATCTTTAAAATTTATGAAAATATTCTCTGTAATCTAATGTTTTTCTGAATTTTAAATACTTTGGCTTTAAATTTACTGTACTTAGCATTTTTTTTTAATTTTCTGATAATGTCATGTACAGACATCCATATTTCCAAAAAAGTCAACACGTTTATACACTCACCTCCAAAAATTCAAAATTCTTTTTAAAATATTGGTGTTTTATGATTTGTACTAAGCTTTTCCATTTATGATTAGTAAATATTACTTAACAATAATATCACCTAAATGGGACAAAGTAATACAGAAATTTAAGATTTAAAACTTTACAAATTATTCAAATAAAAATTTATAAAAAATTTTTTTTTTTTTCTTAAGACAATAGTGTCCATAATATATCTTATATATAAAATCAATTAAAAACTTTTCTAATTAAATAATGTCTTTATTTAATTGCATTTTTTATTTTACGATTAAAAGAAGATTTTCCGTAGCTGGTGGTCCTGTTTTACAAAAAGAAATTGATGATTTAAATTTTCCAAGGGGTTCTACTTTTAACTAATATAAACATTAAGCAGGACAAAATTCAATTTCTCAAAATTTCATAAAATTAAATAAGTCGAGAGTAACAAACTTAAAAAACAAAAAAAATAAAAATAAAAAACTTTTTACCAAGATTTTCTCAAAAAAAAAAAAATTTCTAAAAATAATTTCATTCATCCATTTGTGAATAAGTCCTGAAAGTTTCATTAAAATCCAACAATTATTTGATTTTTGCAAGAATATCCAAATCAATGTGTTTTTAACCACAACAAAAAATTTCTGATCTTTGGCTCTTCTGATGAGGAAAAAAAAAGATTTTGAACTAAAATTTCAAACTTTCAATAAAAAGGATAGAAAAATATTGCCAATTGGACCCCGAACTTTTGCCAGTCACAATGAACAGATGTCCCCTTGGGGAGGCAGCATGCCTTGAAAGAATATTGGGCCTCAAACTCACGCCTGACCTCAAGTAGAAATTGTATATACAGTCCATCTCTAAAAATACAGGAAAAATGGTTGGCTCTCCAGTAAGTACCTGACTCCTCATGCTATCTTCTATCTTTACAATAGCCAGACCAAACTGAAAATAGAGTACTGTTGTTATATTTGGGAAGGAGCTGCCTGTTGTAGAGTAGTTTTACAGTGGAGGCTTGTATTTCACTAAGTCGGTCCTAAATTAGGTTCGACGTACAAAACGTTAGGAACTTGAAATAATAATTAATGATGCAGCAATCTAATTGTGGTGGATTGATACTTCAATGTCCAACATCGACTGACTCACTCAACTCCACTGAGCTCAACTGGCCACTGCTACTACTACTTATTATCTGTGGGAGAGTCTATTACAATAGAATAGGTAATGTTCTGGCATAACACTGCTCAATCATCACTTTCCAGTTTCAATAAAGTTCAAAAGCATTTCTGAGTCCTTGTGTGTGACAAATTATTTACCACCCTCTGACCTCTTTCTCACAGGCTGGATGTGGCAAGTCTCTCACTGCTCTATCACTACTTCCATGAAAAGTGCTTGGACGAACTGCATTCTTTGATTCCACCAGGTCTAACCTTCATGGTAAGTAAGTTTCACTCGAACAGCTTCTTCACACAAACCACTGTTCTATGGAACTGACTCCCAAGACGATGTTTCCCTGATCATTACAATTAACCTGTTTAAGTCTAAGGTTAATTGTTATCTTCTCTTCCTATCCATATAAACTGCCCCTTAACATAACCCACTACCTTGAGTGAGCCCCCAGGCCTTCAGTCTATAGTGAACCTTACTGAAAAAATAAATAAATAAAAAATCCTTTGGTCTTTCCTTTTTATGATAATATTAAAATTTTGTCAATAAAACTTTGATTTTATTAAGTTTGGGGCATTTTTTAATCATGGTATGATCATTTTTTACCACATGAGGCATAAATAAAAATCATTCTAACTCAGGCCACAGTGAAAATTCTACCACAAAATTGTGTACATATTTTGCTCTAAGGCAGACAAATTTTTTTTTTTTTGTTTGTTTTTTTTTGTTTTTTTTAAGCATTTCACACCAAGCAAGGCAGGAAGCCAGGGGTTACACAAAATTTAGAGCAAGATCAGATAGGAGTGATAGAAGAAAGGATGAGGGTAGTGGATAGATCAAGGCAACTGGAGATGTCAATTGACATTACGCTTGAATAGCTGGCGATTATAGCTCACAGGGAAACAGGAATAGGGAAGGGAGTTCCACAGGCGAGAGGTGCGAGACATGAAGCTATTGGAGAAGAAGAGACAGCTACATTTAGGAGTTTCGACAGTGAAGGGGTGAGAGCGGGATGCCATCTTCGTATGGCGCTTGAACTCATAACGTCTGGGAACCAGCGAATGCAGCTCCTCGTAGCAATTTCCATGAAAGTATTTGTAGAACAGACAGAGGGAAGCGACAGCGCGTCTGTGAGAAAGTGACTGTAGACAAGATGCCAGAGCATGGCCAACTACATTGCATATCCGCCTCTGGAGCCTATCAAGAACCCCGAGGCAAACAGAAGGGGCACCAGACCATATATGGCAGCAATACTCCATGCAAGGGCGAATTGTTGATTGTCAAATTTTAAAAAAAAATTAAGATATGCTTTTTGAGAAAGTAAAGGTCAAATGTTAAGGTCAAGGACAAATTACCTTATTTGACCTTTAAACAAAAAAATATAAACAGATCACCGTTTAGATCTATCCAAGTACTTTAAAATGTTATATAATCTAGCTTTGTGGATGAAAAAAACTGAGATATTGATATTTAAACCTTGTAACTAGTTTCGAAAATTCATCTTTTTAGCAAAGGTCAAAGGGTCATATCTTAAAAACCTTTTGACCCAGAGATGTAAAATAGGTACCAATTCGTATCATAGAGTTATACATATTTTAGAGACACATATTTTTTTCAAATTTGGTACACTTATAAGTGTACCAAATTTGAAAAAAATATGTGTCAGTTATGGTCAGACCTTTGTTGATTTGACACAGAATGACGCTTAGGCAGTTCTTATGGACAATACCAGTACAAACACTGGTTGTGAAGCAAGGCTTGTTACAACTCTGGAGAAAAATAACTTAAAAGAAAGTTGCACTCCATTGGCTGTTTACTTCATCAATATGGACTTCCATATAAAGCTTTTTTTAAGTCCATTGATAGAACTACAAGAAGCCCAACTAATTTTACTGGGCCTCTAAGGAAACTTTGTGTAAATGATGACCAGGATTTGCTCCAGGTAGAATTCAACACTATCAGTGACCCTCTGGATATCTTATATTTTATTGTAGGGGCAATGGAAGATTTAAGTGCTGACCATTCTTAAAATATGTAGTAGGAATTTTTCAAGGAAAAGTAAACCCTAGTTTTACTGACTGGAAAATTGGGTTTCTAAATCAAACAAGAAGCCTAACTTTAACCATCACGACCAGATGTGCTTATGGACCAGAGGTACCTATCCTCTAGAATTATACTAGGATAAATTATACAATCTTATAAAATTTATAATTGAAATATATTCAGTTAATTGGTTTGAAATTAAAGGGGACAATAAATTCTACAACTGACAACTGTATATCTTCAACATTAGAATAAATCAACAGAGTCAAGTGAAATACATTAAAAGTATTTTGCATTAAAAGTTTACATTTCTTTGTTTCAGAAGTAGCAAGAAAGTTTTTAAAATGATGAGCTGCAAGAGGTTTGGATGAATGGAACAACATTGGAGTTGACAAATTTACCTGCACATTTGCAAGATATGGAAAGAGCAGTTAAATTAACTACTGAAGCTTTACAAACTGCATATGAACAAGATGCAAGGCACAAGCACATTATTACTAAATCATTGTGCCATCAAATAAGACCTTCATTTATTTCGAAGGGAAATTATACTGAATAATTTAGTTACATTATGATGTAATATTATACAGTGCTGTAGTTTTAGCGATATTCAATAAACAATGCAAATTTAAAATATTTTGTATTATAATTTGTACCCAGCAGTATTGGAATTTCATTCCGGTAATCAGTGAAAGCCTTAGAATTTACTAAAGCTTTACAAATTGTATATGGACAAGATACAAGGCACAAGCATATTATTACTAAATCATTGTGTCATCAAAGACCTTCATTTACTTCAAAGGGAAATTATACTGAACAATTTACCTTTGTTATGATGTTATAGCAATTTTTGAGTGTAGCTTAGATGTGGCACAAAGCCATAAACTCACTACTCAGTCGTAATTGATCTAGCAAGTCAATCTTTCTAACCATTACACCACATCAAGGTGCCCCCTTTGTTATAATGTTATATGTCATACAGTAAAGTGGCTTTAGTGTGATTTTCAGTAAACAATGTAAATTTAAAACATTTTGTCTTATAATTCATGCCCACCAGTATTATGGTGTTATATACACTT